ACAAAGATTAAATGTGAAATTTTTAGTTTTCCACATTTAGGATGAAACTTGTATAAACTGTCTTGTTTTAATTTGTCAAGTCTCCTTGAAAGATACTCCATACCAAGTATAAACAAGTAGGGGGAGAGGGGGTCACCTTGCCTTAGACCTCTTTCCCCTTTAAAGTATCCATAGAGTGTACCATTCAGAGAAATAGAGTACATTGGAGAAGTTATGCATGCCATGATCCAAGTTATCATCATTTTGGGAAAACCAAGTCCATTCAACATTTCCTCCAAGAAACTCCAACTGATAGTATCGAAGGCTTTTTTGATGTCAATGTTCAGCATAATCCTTGGAGAAATAGACTTCCTACCATAATTCTTGACAAGCTCATGCGTTAGCAAAATATTGTTAGAGATCTGTCTACCTTTAACAAAAGCACACTGAGCTTCATTTATGAGACAACCAAGAACAAATTTGATTCTGTTTGCAATAATCTTTGAAATAAACTTGTAAATACAATTGCAGCAAGAAATTGGTCTGAAATCTGAAGGGGATTTAGGACAGTTTACCTTGGGTATTAGGGTAATTGATGTTGAATTTATTGCACCCAAAAGCTTTCCAGATGTAAAAAACTCTTCAATGGCATTTGTAACCTCCTCTCCAATAATATGCCAAGTAGATTTATAGAAGGAAGCACTGAAGCCATCAGGGCCTGGACTTTTATTATCAGACAAGGAGAAGACTGCTTTTCTTATCTCATCTTTGGAAACAGGAGCAGCTAAGTAACTTGCCTGATCATCATTCAGGCGATATCCATTCTTTATGATGTTAATGTCAGGTTTTGTAGTTACAACAGCAGTACCCATTTGGTTCTTGAAAAAAGAAGTTAATTCATTTGCAACATCTTCAGGCTCAGTAATCCTTTCACCAGAACTTTTATATAGAACCTGTTCGCGTGGAAAACTGTTGCTTTCTTCATTAATGAGATAATTGTCATCTTGAGTTACAACTTTTTGAGTTACAAAAGATCCGGTCTTTTATAGATCCGGTTACAACTAAATCAAAGAAAAAAATAAAAATTACAACTTTCCTCTTGTGAACAAATCGCAAGCTCCTGTTTTGCGGTTGCTTGCTTGTGTGGGTTCTTTGCCAACGCCGGGGTTAATCCGTGGACCACCGCGCGATCTAGATCCGGTCGGATCTACACGAGTATGCGGGTATTATTCCACGAAGGGAATAATAGCCGGGAGGGATTAATCCACCAAGGGAATAATCGCTCAGATCTCGAGATCTAAGACCAAGCTTAGATCTGGAGTGTAGTCTCGTGTAGATCTCAGATCTGTTCTTTCTTCCTCTCGAGATCCTGCCTTTTCTGACGTGGATGGTCGCCGAGGATCAGATCTGAATGTGCAAGTCTTCTGGTCTTCAAGCTCCGAGTTCACTCTTCAATCCGGCAGAGTTTCGGCTCTTGAAAGTTCGACCTCTGAAAATGAACATCTCTAGGCCTATTTATAGGCTCTCAGGACAGTGGCTGCAAAAAGGGAATTGTCGGCCCCCTCTGGCCACTGTCGGCCACCTCGGGCCACTGTCGGCCACCTCGGGGTGGCCGACACTGTGCCTAGCCACCTTGGGGTGGCTCGGCTCATGGCCGAGCCACCCCAAGGTGGCTCGGCCACCGAGCCACCCCGAGGTGGCTCGGC